ATCGTTCGGAAAAGGGGAAACAAAAAAAAAAAAATATCTCATGCTCTACGCGATCGATCTGTCGATCGACCAGTGCTGTGACACAACGAGTAGCAGAGACATAGTAATAGAAAATTTGCTCACCTCCTGCATATCCATGGCGGGAGAGAAAGAGAGGCAAGAAACATTGCGACACAACTAACAATGTCATACTAAACTGTCACACATCGCGCGCGTGTCCTCTCCGAACCGTACATGCAATTCGTTCGTTAACACCGTACGTTTCGACACCAGCGACACCACTCTGTTTCCTCTGTTATTTTCTTTTCCCCTCGTTTCATATCATACAAGTTTATGTACGAGTCAAGACACGTGGAATCGTCCATCGTATAACAGAGTTATTCTTTCCTTTTTTTTTTTTTTTTTTTTCGTTTGTTTCAAATACGAGGGAGTCTGTAAGCTCCTCTCGGCCCCTTGATAAAAAATTTTCTTACATCGCGGTCGATCGATTTCACTTATTTTGATTAGGGAAAGAAGCTCACAGACTTCATACGGAACAGCGATTCGCTCCTCGAGTTTACGCAATATGTACATACAATAAAACGTTTGCAACTTGACGCTATACATTAATTACCTAGTCGGTATAAAATCGTGATTGTTCGTGTAAATAGTTCGTTACTCTCCAGCACGTAGTTCAGTCGCGATTCGCGGCGAGTTCGTTAGAAAAAAAAAAGAAAGAAGTCACACCGCGTCTTTTTTATATTCCATATTTTTTCCCCCCTTGTTCTTTGTTTCTTTTCTTTCCTTTTTTGGCTTTTATATTTAACAACCGCGCGAGACACGCGGTCCATTCTCGCTGCGAGGCTTCAGATCGGTCGTCAATTAATCTAAAAATGTTTTGATATGAGCAAATGGCAAACGCGTTGACCTTTCCAATTTCAACCATTCGTCCGCATCATTTCACAGGTCCCATCGGTTGAGGGAAGTTGCGGACGAAAAGAAAACGATCATTCTAGGTCGAAGGACCTTCTCGGACTGTTCTCTCTTCTTTCTTTCTCCTTTCTTTCATTCCGCTTTTTTCGCGGAATTTTTTCCCCCTTTCTTTTCTTTTCTTCCTTTCTTCCTTCCTTCCTTCTTTCTCTCTGCTTAATGAAATTCCAACGACACCCGTACGTTACCCGGTAATAATTGATTGGCTAGCGTTCCGTCGATAACGTTTCCGGTTAGATTGTCGGTCGAGATTACGGTTCTCGAACTGGCAGCAGCAAACGAAGAAAGAAAAAAGAAACATAGGAAGAAAGAAAACTGGAAAGGTCGAGGATCGTTGCTCCTTCTTTTGATTATACGTTTCGTTTGAACTTTCTACAGTTTGTATCTCTGTCGGTATTTCACACAGTTCTCGATCACTGGTGGTGATGATAATGATGATGGTGGTGGTGGTGGAGTTCCTCCTTAGATCCATCGGGTCGGATACGCTTTTCTCGGGCATAGGAATCTGTTTTTCGTTTCTCTATTGTTTCATTTTCCCTTTTATTTTTCTTTCTTTCTTTTTTTTTTTTTTTTTTTTTTTGGCTCGTTTCTATTTTATCTTTGGTTCGCGAACGAATCCCTACAGGATCGTCCGCTAGTGTAGATCGGTAAAAGCTTCGCAGATCGGTTTCCCCGAGGATTTCTGCTTCTAAAACAGAACACGAAAATGCTCGGGTAAGATTGCGTTAGATGATATAGGAGATCGATTAATCGGACCGACACGGTACACGCGAAGCATTTTTGTTTCCTTGATAAGAAAAATGAACTCGGAACGGCGGTAACGACAGTTCCTCCCACTTGGGAAGAGCCAGGGGGAAAAAAAAACGAACGGGTCGTTCGTATAAATATAAGCTGGGCGGAATGAAAAATGGAAAAACCCGATAAAGTCCGCCGAATTGGAAATTGAATTTCATCGGGAAAATTGAAGATTATCGGCAGAGTAATTGCGAAGTTTACGAACTGACAATTTCTGACTCTGAGTTTATTTGCTTGTGTTTCCCCGTCAAGCGGGCAGCAAGTAAGAATAGTTTCATCGAAATAACGAGATAATAATCAATAAAGGGATCAACAGACAAAAATTACACGACCAAAGAAATAACGGAAAGAATTGAAAGAATAATAAAGAAATGATTAATTCCTTCGATTCGAAAAGTTCTCTCAAGCTCTCTCTCTCGGATTTAATTCGTCAACGAAATATTCTTCGAAACTGAATCAATTTGTAGCACGAAGAAAGCACGACAGAACTTTTAATTAAACTAAAATTGAGACTGGCTCTCTGAGAAGATCTCGTTGACATAAATTATTACGTCTAGCGTAACGTCGAAACGTAGTACGCTTCAATTAAGCTACACCTTGTTACGTTTACAGGCTATTTTCCCTCTAGCTCTCGTCAATTATCCCTAAATTCTCTTACAATTTTTCAGCATCCTTCGCAAACAGACTTAACACTCTTCCATCAGGTAGCGTTAATTTTCCGGACGAAAAATCCAACGAACGTTGTCAACGAGAAAGGTGAGCTTCATCACGTCACTTTGAAGAAAAGAATCTTCGAGCGACTTTAAGCGAATAAGAGTACACGTAATTAGGGAAAAGTTACGATGAATTACGGCGATATCGAGATGCTGGATCGGCCGATTCGCGGCCGCGTAAAGCGTTTAGCAGCTTGAGATTTCGAGCCGGTATCGCGGCTACTCTGTTGCGGTCTGAAGTAGCGCGCTTCCGAAGGAGAACAGCAATACCAGACGTTTGTTGGCTGACGGAATTGTTTGCTCACGAGTACACGAGGTCACCGGCGCAAAGCTGCATATCCGTATTTGTGGACGAGCCCTTCTCAAATACTTGCCTGTTTGCCTACCGCTTGAACGTACGCAAACGGTAGCTCGAATACATATTGTAGATACGCGAGTTCCGTACGAGCTTTTCGCTCGAGTTTCGCCAAGCTCGCGACTTAATTTCATCATGCTCTCTCTCTCTCTCTCTCTCTCTCTCTCTTTCGACCCAGCTGGAAATTTTCTTTCGTTGTCCATCTTGTAGATCGCGCGTTCGTCCTCGAACTCGTTCGAAGCAGTGTTGGCGAACCTTTTTACGTGCGCGTGCCAGTAATTGACAAATTCAATTTTATCGACTTGCTGACGGTGCCGGTTAGTTATTAATTATTAATTTACAGATATGTTGAGAAAATAAAGAAAAAAATAGGATCAAATGATCTTTTTTTAGCTTTTCAGCTATTCTTCCATTCGGGCTTTGATCGATCAAGATCATCGATTTCTATGCAAAGAAAGTGCCATTGCGAAAGTGACAAAATAAAGAGAAACTATATCCACACTATAGACTGCGTAACGAGTGAAAAAAAATGAATTCGTAAAAAAAAAAATAATTGATTACGCATTTCAAAAAATTGAACTGAGCGCACAAAATAATGTAATCTTTCGTGCCACAAAAATCTTCGTACGCGGCATCTCTGGCACGTGTGTCTTAGGCCATTATTGATTTAAGCGGTGTTACTTTATTATTATTATTAATAATTTATCGCTTTACTTCGTCGTTCAGCTAAAACAATTCTAGTGCAATTCGTAATTCGTCTCCGATGTTTGTTCAATTTTCATTCAATTCCGTTCGCCCGAGCCATTTTTTTCCCCCCCGAATATATCCGCGTTCGACGAGATTGCCGGCCAATGAAATTTCATTTAGCGAATAACCGCGGGAATTGACTATTAAAACATCGCGGCGACCGGTCCTAATAGATACTCTGGCAACCTATTTACCACCGGTGAAATTGTGTTTTCATCGTCACTGCTCCCTGCTATTTCAAACCGATCGAACAAGTCAGTGTCGAGCCAGCCGCGGGCAACGAAGTGAGTCTGCCTTGAAAATAAACTCGCGTCATTGGAAGCGTGAGAAAGAGCGCGTCGCAAAGGAGGAGCCTTTTCTTTTGTTTTGCTACCAAATTAGCGTTGTAACTTCGATCTAGCCAAGAGTCGATGAATAATTACTCTCCCCGGGAAAACAATGACGCTTCACACCCCGTGCGATATCTTTTCAGTTCATCTCTGCGGGCGTTCTGCGTTTCTTCGAGGCGACGAAAGGCGACGGAGAGAATGGCGAATCAATCAACCACATTATCTCCAGTTGGAACCGCAAACAATTATAACAGTATCCAGTATCTGAGGGACAAAGACGCCTCGCGAGCCGGTGGTGGTTTTTCTCTCGCCCTTCCATCCAGGGACGTCGTGATTCCATCGATCACAGCGAGAAGACGATCAGACCCGTGTGGTTTTGTGGCCACATCGTGACCATTAAAGAGGAACTCCACCATCGCGCGAGCATCAACTGATGTATTCGCGCGGTATGTCGGGGTAGATGGCGTCGGGATCGAGGTGCGTGTTGGACGACGTTACTTGAGACGCGATCGCGCCATCTTCGACGTGCTATCTAACCTCACTCACCCGTTCCTCGATGGCGACCTTCCGGCTTTTCCACACGAACTCGCACACCGCGATCACACAAGCGATGCCCATGCCGCCCATCAGCACCACGAACACGCCGCCGACGTTCGCCAGGCCCAGCTCGTTCGCCGTCGAGCTGCTCTTCGACATGTCGTCCTGTTCACAGAAAACGGTAGCACTCAAGGTCAGGCAATGATACGATTCATTCAAGGACGATCACGGCGTACGCGGTGTGATTACAATTAACATGGGAACCTTTTGAAATTTATTGAAATTTATACGTCGATCGTGGAAGCAGGGAAATTTCAAAATTCGAGTACCCATGGGATACCTGAGCAAGAGCAAAAGCACTCGGGTGTCTTGCGAGATAATTGCGAGGCTAGAGTTATCTGAATACTTGATATAGCTTCATCTGATATTTGTAATTTCCGTCTTTGTGACGAAAAATGGAAGAAACTGTAATTTGTGCCCACTAGAATGGCGGGGAAGCTGAGGAAAAAAATATCAAAAATTGGCGAAACTTGCTAAAAAAGTATTTACGCTAGTACCAGCAACGTTTGAAGGATGTGGGGCCTGAGGGAGTATTTTCCAAAATTCTGGTTGGAAAGCTTGTTATAGGAAAATCTAGAAAAATTATTAGCAGAAAACCAAGTACTTCAATGTTTTACCATTTAACGTTAAAATATAAATTACATTGTAGATTATCCGAGTAATATGAATAGAAATAATACACTCATAGTAGTCTCAACTATCTCCCGGGTAATTTTCTATTTTGATGCAGACATCTTGTAATTAGACTGCGGATTTTTGAGGATTTGAAGAGAAATTTGAATGCACGGAATGCACGTAATATGCAAGAGTATTGCATTACACTCAGTGCAATAATTAAACAGAGGAAACAATTCCCTGTCTAAATAGTTTCTCCTTTCTGAGAATTTCAATTATAAGTATATAAGTTTCCATAAAAATCCGCACTCACAAGCAACAGCTCTACTTCAAATCCATAGAGAATTATCGTCACCGTAAGGAACGGAGGAGAAAAACTGTCCGAAATCCTCGATCATTACAGGCAACTCGGGCGCAACGTGACGTCACGCCGACAATGGTTTCAGCCGACAAATTACAGTGATGAATTCGTCGCGGGGATTCATCCGAGCGGAACGTAACAGATAATAGCCGCGTAATGGCCCCGGCTGTGATTCCACGAATTTATGAAACTGTCCTCCCCTTCACGGTCCGTCTATCCCTTCTGAAAGGACCACTGCATTCGTGCATTCCGCCGAAGCGTAGTGCACCCTCGAGGAGATCAGAATTTTCGAGCGTACGCTTATCGACTGAGTACACGACTGCCCTACCGGTTCGTTCTTCGAATTCGGGAGAGTGAGAGTAGTTTGTAGATCGTGTGTGCACGCTCACCCTGCATGATCCTCCGCCACGTTTCTCCTTCCACCAGCGCGTCTTCAGCAAGTGCAGCTTCCCTTCTTCCTGCAGCTTCAGGATCGCCCCGCTTATGGCCGTTCTGTACGGCGAGTCTGAAGTTTCAAGGTCGTTTCTGAGCAGCGACGTAACAACGTTCCAACCAGTCGGCTTTTATCGCGCTCGAGATATTTCCCTCCGACAGCGTAATCGTTTGCTGTTATCGTTCTCTCGTCGCGCTCGCGTCCCCGCGATTTCCAACGATCGTGTTCAACCCCTCCCCCCCCGTTTCCCTCTGCTCCCCATTCGCTGGAATTTGCGACTCAAGGACTATCCGACACGATAAGAGAACGTTCTCGAATTTTGAGATCGTTCGCGCCGCTCTGGCAGGAAGCAAACTACGGTAACTACGGCGCCATTGAATCCAATGGAATTTTGGTTTGTTTTTGCTTTCCGGACGAATGGAATTTGTTTGTTTCGAAACGATGGAGGAATTTTATTTTTCTCTTTCTCTCTCTCTCTCTCTCTTTTTCTCTCTTCGCGGCGGAGGGAGATATTATTCGAGCCGTTCGAAAAACCGCATCGATCAACTCCGTAAATTGAAAACAAAGAAAAATAACGTTACAAACGCCTCGTTTTTTCTTTTTTTTTTTTTTTTTTTTTTTTTAATTCACCTTGCAACTCGTCGCTCGATAAGCGAGCTGAGCTACAATCACAGTTTTAATTCTCAACAAGGGAACAAGTTCACCGTCGCGGGATATAGTCGGCAGTTAATTGTAAAATAAATTTTCGAAGATAGTGTCATTGCTTTCCTCTGCTTTTTCAATTTATAGAGTCGATCCGAGGGGCTCGATTAATGGTTAAACGATCCGTACTAAAGTCCAAGACTTTATCATCATCTTTCACGTTTCACCCGGTTGGCCAAAGCCATTAAGGCTAAACAATTGATCAGCGTTTCTCGCGTTTCGTGAAATATTCACCATAAATCGGTCAGAACTCCTACGAACGAACGTTGACCGATGTCTTTCTAATTCCCCCATAAATCCACGGGGACGAGCGTGAAAAATTATCTTTCCGTTTCGACGCCCGTTTACAGGATGGAACCATAAATCAAGGATATACGCGTTGATCGGTCTCTATCTCGTGTCACAAATTATTCGACTAGCACTCTATCCAACCGACGAGTTTATCGCAGATCGCGATCCGCTGAATATTATTTGAAACTTTCAGGCGAGATCTCTAGATCTTTTAAATTCAGGAAACGTGCAAATATTCTGTTCTCTGCTCAGTAACCGTGAGCAACATTAAATGACATTTATTTTTGAATCAATTTTGATCTTTCGTATAGTATAGTACTGAATTGCGACTCGCGTCAAAGGAAGATAACTATACCGATAACAATGAAAAATTGTCGATACTAACATAATAATTCTAATTAATTTCTAATTTATACCGATTAAAAGAAATCATATGACGATCCACTTGATCCCAATCTAGAGCTCGGTTTTTCCAAATACTTTTCTCTCGAAAATTGTGAAGAAACGTATCTGAAAGCAGTAAAAAATTTTCTTCGTTCCACCGTGGTCTTGAAGATCGAAATCTCTTTACAACGATCTCGAACTTTGAACATTAAGATAAAATGATGAAATGTTTTTCTTCAATTTTTGTCATTTCATCCTAATAAGTTTTAAAAGATCTCGTTGTTTAAAAGAAGAGACTTCAGTCTTCAAGATGATGGTGGATTCAGGTGCGGAAAGGATTTTTCTTCACACTGGTTTGAATTTTGAACGTCACTAACTCTACGGGGCCGTTGTAATCAACGTTATGATTTCCTTTTACACGGTTCTATCAGTTTATAAATTATCGACGATGTTTCATCGTTTCGTCGTTTGGTATAATCACGCTCTTCGCTGTGAATCGGGGCTCGATGAAATAATAATAACGTGTGTCACTTACTTGGCGGCATGGCGATGCCGTATCCCTTGGAGTCCAGGAGGCCGCCGACTTGAGTAAGATCACAGTTTCTCTCGATTACGTATTCGATGGAGGTGGATTCCATTAGAAATGCGTAGCTGCCTTTCCCCTTGATCACTCGTTCAACACCGTCGACGTTGCTCGTTGTAAATACCGTCGGCTTTGCCGAATCCATAAAGGACCACATGCGTTGGTACGTCGAGAAATTGGAATCCTGGATCACGCGAGGAATTTCATGGTCGAGCACGTGCGCCATTAAACGATGGAACGTTGGTGGAAATTGGTTAATCTTCAAGGAGGCCTATTACGACCGTCGGCGCCCGCTTGCGGTTCCGCAAACCACACGGAACCTCCATCCGTATCGCGACAACAATCGATACGTTACAATACGTCCGCCATTTTCGTCTCGTCTCGTTTCGTTTCGTTTCTCGAAGAACCGCGTAAATTACAACATTACGATAGTTAAGGAACAATGAGTTAGTGTCTGTACTTCGCGATCTCATCGGAGGCATGTAAAGCGGTGTTTCAAATGAAGGGGACGTTTGTAACAGAGGCGGACAAGTTAATAAAAAAAGTTGAGACAACAAATTTGTAGAAAACGTGGCTTTCCGGTTTCTTTCTCCTGCCGCGGCGTAATCTGTTGCAATAAACTTTCATAATACCGAAATTAAACGAGAATTAGCGGTAAGTAATGGCCGCGATGTTTTCTCAAGCAACACGCGCTCTCCGCCTCTCGTTCCTCGTGAGGCTACAGTCTCCTCCTTCGGTCTCTACCTGCGGCTTATTTTCTCATGCAATCTCAAATCACGTCGTGATAAAACACATGCTGCGTGATGTACGCGCGATTCGTCGATGGACGCAAGCAAATACATTAATTTAGTAGTAATTTATTGTTGACAGAGTTACGAGCGAGTTGAATTACCTGTGTAACTCTTTTGTCTTTCGAGCAGATTCTACGCTAATTTTGAGAAACAATTCTCACACCGTCAGAATTGGGCAGTAATCAATTACTACGTAATCGTGGTTAATCAATTAATCGCTAATAATTTTGATTAACTTTTGCAATTTGCAATCATTGATCAGTAATTTATATTTTATTACGTGTTATTTCTTCATGTTAATCGCACAGGGTTGTGACATTCTAAATGTTATTGTTAAACCACTTGCAGTTTGAATAGTAAACTAGGACTTGTATTCCCTGCTGTATAATAGTATTCATATTATGTAGAAAAATTTGTTAAAGTTTTGCAAGTCATATGAAAGATAAATTAACATTGATGAAAAATTTCTTAAATACATCATCCTGATAAAATTGTAGGATCGTACATACATTGCAAAACAATGGAAATAACGAATACACATAATATTGTTGCATCAGAGTATCGTTGAATTATAATAAATCATTTTATGATTAGTGATTATTAAGTCAATCATATTGATTACAATGATTTTCATTACTTCGCTTATTCATTAATCATCTCATTTGATTTCAAATCCATAATTCTTTGATAATCCACGTAAATTACAATCGTCAATTGTTAGTCAGATTACATTACAATTTTGCCCAAGTCTGCCGTGAGCCGCAGTGTACCTTATTGAAAAGGATTTGACGCGTTGGTTTCTTTTTTTTTTTTTTTTTTTCTTTAATCTGATCTTACCCTGAAAAAGGCGGCGGTGCTGCCTCCTTTGAGAGCCCCGTATTTAATTTTCGTCTGCTTTGCGAGATCCTCGGCGCTCTCGATCGGCGAATCCATCCTCTCGACGGTGAGGAACGCGGCCAAGTTGGCAGTGTACGAAGAAATCATGATCAAAGTGAAGAACCACCACATGCCCGCCACTATGCGCGTTGACACGGCCCTGGGGGCAAAAGAATTCAGGCGGTGCAGTCGGCACTTCTACTAGCTTTCGAGACTCTCGACTGTACGAAACTACGCGTGTCCCTCCGTAAGGAAATTTTTGAAAAACAATCGTTCGATCATATTCGATCTTCGAACGTACGCGGCGAAGTTTGAAGTACACTTCGAGCGTACGAGCGCGTGACAAAGATGTTTGTTTCGCAAGTTTCGAGTTACATCTCGAGCGGTCTCGAGAGGACTTGGTACGTCAAAAAAATCACGTCAAGGAGATAGCTGGAAAGTTTGAGTATATCCAAGTCATCTAAGTGCATAACAGATAACAAACATACTGTATAAATACATCAAGCGTCTACGTTGCAACAGTTTCTCATGCAGTTTCAAACAATCTTCTCTTCAACTCTACGGACAACAACGATTAACCGGGATAAAAGAGAGACTACGATAACCGAGGATAGGGGCCGTATCGTAGGAAGTTTCGGACAACGAACGATGATCATTCGTGGTCGACACGTTGAGCGAGAGTGTTGGATGCTCGATGCGATGAGGTTGTTGCTGCTTCGTCGGAGCTCAATTTAGCCTCGTTAACTCAATCACCCGAACGAAACGTCCGAGAAGCGACCGCTAATCGTTGCAACGAACGGATCGTTTCTGTCCGAGAAGCTATCTCAGTGTGGCTCGAAGCACCTGTTCTGTTGCCAGTTACTCGGCGATGTATCAGCTTCTTCCGAGCAGCAGCAACAACTTCGACGAAACGAAACTGTATTCGTGGTCGTGGTCGTGTTCGTGGGCGGTCTTTTGTCGACGAGGCGAGACGCGAGACGCGGTAGCGCTAGCGACAACAAAGCACACCGGCAAGTTCTCGACACGCGAATGTGATCGGTTGCAGCAAGCCTACGATATAGCATATCCAGGCTATCGTTACATGACATTGGGTAGCACCTACGGCCTCGAATCTCGTCCTCTCCTTGCCCGACTAAACTTCTATCACTTCTCGTTTCTATTATATGCTCGCGGATGAGCCGCGCTGCTAAAACAGTCGCGAGAACTAGCCCAACGCTCGCGGCAGTCGTTTCTTTCTCTCGAAAGTTTAAAAGTCTCTTTCGTGTCCGGTCCCGGTACCGCGGTAATGCTCGCAGTTTCACGGCGAATCAAAGGCGTACTTATATATATATATATATATATATATATATATATATATATATATATAT